ACAAGCAATTAATTTTAATAGTTAAATGCAAAACGCAATACTGTTATAGCCCACCCATATATTTGATCATGTTATACGCTTATAAACTAATAAATATATAAGCTAATAAAATAATTATAAAATAATAATAAAAGGGTTGACCAAGAATTAAAGAAAAATGTTTAAAATTTGGGAGAGATCCGAGTGCTTCTTATATAAAAATAAATAAATAAATATAAACATAATTACACGGCAGTGAACCCGTGAAAATATAGAATTGAGGTTAAAAAAAGTGAAGTATGTTTACATTATAAGAGAAACAATAGTTCAATCTCGAGTGAAAATAAATGTAAAAGAAATATTAATATATGGTATGATATGTGATATGTTCATGCTAAAGTGTAGTTGTAATAATCGAATAGTATCAAAAATACGACAGGTTTAATACCGTACGAAATAAAAATGTAAACGAAATAACATCGCATGCGTATCATGGATTGACTTTAATAATATTATGTATAAACCTGATCATGATCATGAGATTATAATTTTTTATATGAATTAATTTTATAATTTGTTTAACTACTTTATTTTATTCAATTTAGAAATTATATATATTTTAGTCATATATAACATTGTATTTTATTTTAATCTTCAATATTAAATTTATTATTATTTATGTCATACGATTCAGGGTTCACACGATATTATAATTAAATATTTCATTTCACAATGTAATTTTCCTGTAATCATAAATCAAATTTTTATTATATTTATCAAGAAAAATTAGATATGTAAAAAAGTAAATAGAGAACATTCCTTTTTTTTAAGTATCGGGAGATATATATAAATATGTAATAAATAAATGTACTTTTAGGTTTCTCTGTGTGTGTATATATACCTCAAAATCAACAACCAGGGTATACAGAGGATAGGACACCTGGTTTTATGAGAAAACTTAAGGTCGCTAAGCGAGCTTCGGAGAGGGCTATGCTTGAAGTTCCTCTAGAACAAAGAGAAGAAGCACAAAAGTAACCAACATAGTCCAATGGATTAGTAAGCTGAAGTGGCAACGGCTCGGTTATATATTTTGAGGAAACGACAATCAAATGGAAAGAAAGAAGCTCAATTAGCAGCCTTGTACTAGTAAGCGGAGTGTAGGGCGGCTAATAAATGAAATGACGGCCTGGCACGAGGTGCAGGACGTCGAAGGATGGAGGTCACAAGGAGAGTGGGCCAATGGGGCAGGCCTATGTTCAACAGTGGACTTCTGATAGGCTGTAATGATGATTATGTTGTTTATATTGTAGCTCTCTTTATTTTTTGGTGTTATGTTGGAATAAATATCTTATTTGTATATTTTTAAATGACTTCAAATCTAATTTAACTTAAAAAGGGAAAGTCGACTAACTTTTAAGGTACTTCTTAAGGTAGCAATTTCATCATTTTATGATGTAGTTATATATTAATGCCAAAGTTGTAATAATGTTATTTTTGATTTCATCATTTGGAAGTGAAGAAGTAGAAGAATTATTTTTATTGATATTTTAAATATTTTGGAGTAACCATAGGGCATGAGCGATCTTATACAGCACTGAATTCTAAACACTAACTACGAATTGTAAACTAATTTCAACACTTTTTAGCTTAAAATTGAGATTTATGTATCGCAACATTTTAAATATGAAAAGTTACAAGTAACTTTGTCAGTAGTCATAATTAACAGCAAGATGAAAGTATCTTTCCTTTAAAGCTCGTCGCTACCGTTGAAGTTCAAATTTGCTTTTTTAGATTAACATTGACAATTTAATTATAATTAGAGAATCTGTACTTTCCGTAACAAACAAATAATTTTTAAATTGGATAGCACTCTTACCACTTTCATATACGATATATTTGTTTATGGTTTACTTCATAAGTTTTAAACAGTTCCTGTACGCTTAATTAAGCTATTTCTCAATATAATATTTATATTGATGAGTGAAGTCGATCAAAGGAAGAGTTTTGAAGCATTAAAAATGAGGATTTGGCATTAGTCAAGAACGTTCGCTATTACACCACACGCTCCACCGAAAGCTTTCTACAGAAGGAAGGGAAAGGTCTAAGCTTAGATAGTTTGACGGAGAGACAGATGTATAATAGTATTATAACATATATAAGTGAATAAATGAATAAATAAATTGTATTATAACATATATAATAAATACATATAAGTGATAGGTGAATCATAATATCATCTTAGCAATCTCTTTATGAAAACTCTCATATAACTCTAATCAAAATTACGAAAGGTCAAATCAAATCAAAATGCAGTTATGTTGTAATCCCACTAAGGAGTAAGGCGAAATGTCTTGTATCCAGTAAAAAGGGTACCCGGTTCTCTAAATCACCTTACGACACAGCAGCATTAAGCCGCTATTTTACGTTTGTATTCTGTGTGAGCGTGGTGAACCACACAACACTCAACCATAATATAGCTTCACCATAGCTCTGCCTAAGGCCTATGGTGTAAATAATATAATATAATATAGTGTAGATGCATGTTGTGATTATGACTGACATGAGAACCTATAATACTACTAAGGTATTATTAAAAACGAATAATTTAGTAATTATTTTATCGACTTTGTAATGGCAGTGTTAGAATATCCACTACCCCATATCGTCCCGAGATTGTCGCAAGAAGCGACAGAGGGAAACCGGAGTTGGGCAGCAGCATTTTCATGATAACAGCAAATAATTATTAAAAATAATGTGGCTGCCAATCCATTTATTACATATTTCTTCTACATTATTTCAATATCTGACTTTTAAAGTATTTCATTAGTATTCGTGGTTTTTATTTAAAATTTATTACTATGGATATATGAAAACATTCATGTACTCGGGGCTGCATATTCGAATTAGTGTTGCCCCAAATCGGTCTTGGTCTTGCGTTTTTGCAAGACCTTTCCTCGAGTTTTAATCTCGATTATTGAAAGTGGTGTTTTTAAAACACGAATTTACAATTTTTTTATTTATTTAAATAAAGTATTTTATGTAGGCTAATCTTTTATTTTTTATTTAAATAACTGGTAAATTGTATAAATTGTATAACTCTTCTTATTCCATTTCATATAAGGTGAGGGTCTATCGATCTCTTTCTAGACAGATAATGTTCTTTAAAATACAGCCAAGTTAATGTCATTAATTTGTTTTTCATATGTTTTAATCATGTTTTAGCACATGTAAGCTTATTAAATGTAACCGTTTATTAAGAAACAGACTCCCGTGGCCGTGGGACACGGTAGATAGCTCAGGTGATTAGAGCATTGGTACGGACCGCTTAGGTTGTGGGTTCAAACCCCACCCGGTGTCAGTTAGTTTTCGAATTTCTCATTAAATGTTTCGATATTTATTAATTTAGTTGGTCTTTACTATGGCTATGTTAATTCAAGCACAAAATGTTACTATGTTAAGTTGTTCTAAGAGCTAAAGTAACGTTTAGTAAATAGCTATGGATTAATAGGTAATTACGAGCAAGACTGGGAGCGCAATACCAAGACCAGATGTATTGACGCAAGACCAAGACCAAGACTGGCTAAATCCCGTCTTGTTCTTGCATTTGGGCAACACTAATTCGAATACTGCTTGAAAAAAGTATGGTCTACAAAAATTGTTTAGGGTCTGGATGTTTGTTCTTGTTCAATTTATGTATTTTAACTGACTTCACGGTACAGTAGAAAATGTGTCTTATTTGTTATTTAAAAAATAAATAATCAAAAGCTTGTCAAAGGATATTTTTTGAATTCAAGAAAATGAAAACAAAATAAATAAGATAGGCTAGGTCTGAATAAGTAGAAATCCGAGAGATAGGATTCGCGTGTTGCACGCGATCCAAACATAAACAAACTCCGGTGTGACGTCAGAACACGAAAATACTGGTTTTGTGCCCATTGAAACTCACGCATTCTAAGCTCTATATGGAAATAGGAAAATGATTATCTGCGGCTACAAATAGGGCATAACGTATATATATATATATATATATATATATATATATATATAACTAAAATAAACTAATTTTGTGGTATTATTTGTATATTTACATTACTAATTGAGTTTTATATTAAAAAATAACTAAACTTAAACCTATACTTAGCCTTTGAGCGAGGAAATAACCAGCCCTCTTGTCACAGCAGTGACGATCAGTTGCGGATACAGTTCCTTTAGGAACTTCATTGCACGTGGACCCCACGGACCGATAGTCATTTCTCAGACACATACTAATTTGCGCTATTAACTCAGATGCCGCCCTGGCTCTAATGGAAGTACCCTTGAGATGAGTGGCCGCTAAAGTGTCTATACAATTATAATTCTACATTAAGGCTTTACCTCTCTCTCAAGGGACCAAAGTCATACCTTCGGGTCTCTTGCTATCACCTCTATGTATCCCTCAAGGCTCTAAAACCGAAGGAACCTTCATAGAGACAAGAGCCCTTCAGATGACTTCGTTCAAAGAACTATGACAAGAAAACCAACCTGCACGTTTCTTACATGAAAGTCCGTGGAGCACAAACTCATCGACGCTGCTACCGCAGGGGCACTGGTGAGGTCGGCAAATTGCCTCTCCTAAACGGATTCCTACGGCGACGCGCAAGCTTTCCCCAATGTGACGAGATTACTTGATGGTAAGGCGTGTAACCAGTGACTAGATTCCTTTGTCGAAACAGCTACAAGGCGAGCCTGATCTTGGTCACCGTGGGAAATGTGAGACCAATTTTTCTGCACACTCCGTATCAACTTAATATCCCACTGATTTTGTTGGTTTACTTTCAATAAGACATTTTCGCCGGGACAGGTTAGCCATGTTTGCTTTGCCTCCGCAGCAAAGCACAGGTCTACTTTAGTTAAAACATAATATATTTATTAGATAATGTACTTAAGGTATATGTTTTGTATTTGCTTTTGTATTTGCATTATCATTACAAAGTACGTAGTAGTAACTTGAATCTCTAATCGGTTTGGTTAAAGTCGCTTACCTCTTGATGTTCTGGTATAAAAGTCCTTCTCCGTTGTGTTAAATCATGATATCTAGCAGGCAGCACTGGATCCTCGCCTGACACTGCCTTTTGGTAGGATAATCGTCTGCCTTTGCTATCAATGGTCGGTCCGTAAGGTTCAATCTCGGGTATACTTGAGAAGTCCTGGTAAGAGTGACACATTTGCATTTCTTCGCTTTTTTCGTCTTGCATGAGACGTTTGAAGTAATTCGTAAGACCTTCGCTCGCTAACCAAGTTACTCTGAAAAATTGATTTTTAAATGAAATCGTGAGAAAATTTGTTTACAATGAACTTTATGAAAACATATATAAAATATTTCATGGGTATTGCTTTATTTGAAGTATTTTATGATTGAATTGATATGGACAAATATGAAAAAGGATGGATCTCGTTAATTTTTTATAATAATTTTTATTAATGTCACGGATTAGCGTGTAATAGCGTGGATGACGTAAGAGGCGACAGAAGGAATGAAACAGAAGATGAGTAGCAGTATCTTCTGGAAAACCCCTTAAAATAATAAAATACTGCATTTGCCAAACTGCATGCCAAGCCTGGAAACTATGCAAAAAACTGGTAAAATCCCCAATATGAGATAATCTATGCGGTCTATATCAGTAGTAGACTTTCAAGGCTGTAAAGATAATGATATTACCGTGTATATTGAAAGTATAGTAATATTCACTTGTCATAAAACCCTCTCTGAATTGAGAGGAGGTCTGTGCCCAGCAGTGGGACGTATATAGGCTGTAACTTAACTTTTTTATGCTGAAAGAAAGATATAAGGGTAAATTGTGATAAGCGGTTACAATTAATAATCGTGTAATTGATGATTTAATTAACACAACAATTGATTATAACGTTTGTTAAGAACGCTGTACGTAGTAAAACGTTTTTATTACTTCACAATTAGCGCCACGCGGCAGCCTTTATCGTTAGTCACCCGTTTGCACAATTTATTTGACAATAAATAAGAGCTCGTATTTGTTATTTCAGGCAATAAACTCATATCTACGGCGTGTAATGGCGGCTCAGCTACTGAGATGACAGAAATATTTTGCTCAAATTTTGCATTGGAAAACGAAATACCAAGAAAAAAAAACTGGTCGAATCTTTGTATCGGAATATTAAGAATAATTAGGATTGCGTTAGAGGATAAGTAAATGTATTTTTGGAACGTGTCACTTTTCTACACAGTTCTTTATTAATTGCGAAGTTTTGGTACTGCCGTTTAATTACTGTTTGAATAGTTAAAAAAATTGAGCCTTTTACTGTAGTTTTTGAGACACTTATTAGGCAATGCAAAATGTAAAAATTATACTTTAGTTTAGTTTTGTTAGTAGAATAACGTGATTATTGACTAAAAGGGATTAAGAATGTTTACTATTTTTAAATGAGTTAAAATATCGTTTGCGTATTTGCTTCGTAGCAACCTCATTATGATCTACGTTGGTATCGAGGATAACAAGTTTTTTTTTTGAAAAAAAAGAATAAAAGTTATAAACAAACTAACAGTTTAAATGATGACAGCTTAAATGACAAACAAAGAAAAAATGTAAGAAAGTCTCCAGTTGCGTACTTCTGAGGACTAAGATGGAATGCCTCATAGCCAATCTGGCTTGGCGGCAGATATATAGGAAAGAGTACCTAGACAGACTTGATACAGTACCTGCATCTCCTCAACGTAACTATTTTGATATATACAAGTATAATATACCATTTCAATTTTTAAAACAATGTTATGAACATTATTAATTTTATGTGTAATTATTATACTGCCTCGTTGGTCTAATGGTTAGTAGTAGTATATTAGTAGTGGTTGTAGTAGTGCGACTGCTGATCATGAGGTCCTGGGTTCGAATCCCTGGTCGGGTCAAAAATCAATTATTGAGATTTTCTGTCAAGAAATTTTCAGCAGCTGCCCGGAGTCAGGAAGTTGGCGGTGTCTCACCCCCGTGCCTCGGAAAGCACGTAAAGCCGTTGGTCCTGTGCCTGACATCTCTCCGGTCGTGTCGGTTTACCGTCCCATCGGATTACGAGAGTGAGGGAATAGAGAGTGCACCTGTGCCTGCGGCACTATAATCTTGTCCTGCGCCGATGGCTAGCGAGAGAATATGTTTAACAAACTCAACTGGCATCAGTAGTCGAGCGGCCCCGTGTAAAACCAAACCGATTTTTGTGTTTATTTACCTTAAATAAACTTAATATAAAAATATCTGATCTAGAAGAAGTTTATCAAAAATTTTACTGAGTGTTGGTACTTAGTACAGAAATAGGTCCAAATTTAGTGGAGTCCAATGAGCTAACAGATTTAAATAAAGGTATGACTTTACAATGTTTCATGAAATCAGGAAACAACAGTTTCAATGAATAAAAACAATGCGATCGCATCTAATATAGACGCAATAACTTCAATGGAAATTTCCCATAGATCTGCAGTTTATTGAACACGGGATCGAGTCAATAATGAGATTGATCTCGATCAGGTTCAATCGAATATATATATATATATTTTTTTTTTTTTATTATATTTTGTGAAATATAACAATTTACATTTAAGTTATCAAGACAGAAATATCTAAGTCTAACAGAGATATATAAGTAAATTTACTATCATGGTACATAGTATTTGCATAGTACTATTATTTCTTCTGTGGTATTTGTAAATCCCTATCAGTGTTGTGCTAATGTAAGAAGTACTAATGTAAAGCAAATTGGATAATAAATTTATAAATATGTCAAAAAAAATAGTTTTGATAATACTACTAAATTACTGATTTACATAATGCTTCTTTCTGCCAGGGGTTTGTCTGCATTAGTAACACGTGTTTACTTATTCTCGCCGCCAAACAACAATGCCGTACATCCTCCGCTGTGTTGTGGTTTGAAGGTAAGAGGGCAGTTATTACTCGTAAGTAACAATTTGTAAATAGTTAATATAAACATACATTAAGTATATATTGGTTTTCGTACAAAGCATTCATTTGTACCCAAAATCTCAACTGAATTTGCATACTAAAAGCATTTTGGGTGCATTATTCACAAAAGACAAATGCATTGAAGCGATATATGGAAATCTCACGTAACGTTCTACAGTGCATTTTTAATGGTTTCATCTGCAGGTAAATGTGTGTTATATCATTTTACACTGCATTTAGGGGGTTTTAAATAGTAGAAAAGTTAAAGAAATGAAGGTTATACGCACATAAATATTGCTTATTGAGGGTTAATTATCATCTTCAATATTAAGCGCGTATTAAAAATATTGTATGACTAAAATCAAAATACGTAAAAACACTATATCAAAATTATACAGATAAAGCAAATTATAAAATAAACAATTGCGTGAGCGGTTATCCTTTAGAACAATTTAGAAACGGTATAAAAATAAAAGCCTTGGCTACAAATAATGAAAATACTCATCCAATTTCTCGGTCAGCCTTCCTCCAGCAGATTTTCGAGGGTAAGCTCCGTAGGAGGTAGGATAATCACTTCCTCCGGGTAATTTTAACAATACCTTACGTTTCCAGGTAAAAATATATAATTATGAAAATTTACAATTGTTTTTATACTTCGTTTTATTTATAGTAAGTGTTTTTATTATTTTTCTTTAAATTACTTTTTTACGCAGTGTCGAAGACTTGAGACCCTGAGGGTATACTTCAATAAATAGCCCAGACAGATAATTTGTTACACGTTGCGTTATGTTTAATGCTGATGATTAATGGATTCAAGGAAAGTAACATTATAGACGTAAACAAAACATTTGACAGAGTACATAATATTATGTTAGTACCTGTTAGATTTTGAAGCTTTTCTTCTTAGTCGCCCATTTGGAGCATCCAAGCCAGAGCTCATGGATATCGCTCGATTTTTTAAAAGGGAATCTTGAATATATGGTTCATTTAAACCTGTAATATAGAGTAATATGTAATTGTATGTAAATGGGACCGTTTTATTGATAGATTAATCAGAAAAAGTTATATGTCAAGTGAACTATGTTCAGGCTGACAAGCCGGATTGGACAATCGGCCCTAAATTGAAATGTTTGAATTTAACTTGGGCTGTTTACTATTTTATAGAATAGACATACATCCACGTAGCATCATTCGTTTCTTTAATTGTACACTGTGCTGAAGAGATTTAGAAAATTAGATTAGATTTAGATTGTTTCAATATGAGAAAAGTTTTTACGTCCATTACCATACCATTATTTTTAACCAAATACGAGTTTGAAATTTAATAAACCATCCATTTCTAGCTTTGCTTTAAAATGGATGAAATAATTATTTTATATTTTTAATTTATTATGTAAAATAAAAGTGTATCTAAAAAGCATAAACGTATTTTTGATTTGGTCGTTTGGACGATTTCAAAGCCATAAGTGTTTAACAAAGGCGCAAGTCAACTTCCCTGATTTTATAATTATGTTATTTGTGGGATTTTATAGTCCATCTTAGAGATAAGGACAGGGTTATCCTGCTGATGCATTTATTGTAAATATATTTTTTTATTTTTTAAGAAACGTTACTCTTACACTAGGATTTTCTTCTGTATCGTGAAGGCAGTTTACAAACATAAATTGCACAAGGACAAACATACAGACCCTTAAGAATTATTTGTAGGCCATAAAAATAATTTTTCCGTGCGGGATTCGAACCCGTGGCCACCAGCGCAGCCACTCATTACTAAGCCACTGCGCCACGGATGCGTCTAATCTAATAATATCTATAATAGGAAACAAAAATTCCATAAAGTGGTGACAGTTTAACGGATTCGTATATCAAATCTTTATTTTTATATTGTGTTGCATATTAAGTTAAGCTGTTTCTAGCAAAAGTGATTTTACTGCTTTGTGTTTAAATAAATCTAATTAGCAAAATACTTACTATGTGCACTATTTGATGAGTAATCGCCAAGTGGTTGACTCGTAGTCAGTGAAGGCTGGCTATCAGTGGCGCTGTCCTGCTCAAGTTGTTCACCAGGACTCATGGATAAGCTACTGGCAATAGACAAGCTTCTTGCCATTGTTGATATACTTGTAGCACTATTTCTTAAATCCTTAAAATAATTAATATTTTAACAAGTAATTAGTTAAATATTTAGATAACATGTGAAATGATACATTGGAGCATTACAGTGGACTAATTGTGACGTAAGACTCTTCTGAGATTTGAGAGACATTAGGTACTATGAGAGGAGGCTTGTGCTTAGTACTAGGACACATATAGGCTATAACTTTACTTAATTTAATCGTACTTTCATTAAAATACGGTAATGATATATTATGACGCAAGTCTAAGTTGAAATTCATTCGTCATCTTTTATCATTCACTACAGCTTATCAAAAGTCTACGTAATAACGTAAAAACGTAAAGTACTCCTAAACATTTTCTCCTCAGGTTGCCTCACAGGGGGATATACGCCATAGCTGCCATGCTTGACAGATGGGTTGGCAATAGCGTATTTTTATTATTTTATGATGTTATAAGTAAGATGGCATTTCTTTTCATTTCCCTACGTCGCATCTTACGATACCAACTGGTTACATGTGATAGTGGATACTCTTTTATGAGGTATACTCACACCTCCTATTGTTATTTATTTGCAGGTAAAACTAAAAGTCGAAGCGTCGCTGGATGCAGGTGGCTCATGACCGTGCTTTGTGTCGTTCCTAAAGGGAGGCCTATGTTCAGCAGTAGGCTTGTGAAGGGTTGTAATAATGAAGATGAAACAATACACAACAAGAACTACATTTTTGTTCTTAACACAAAGTGTTTTCGTCTATAATAATAATTTTAAAAAAGTGAACTTAAGCAAAATTTTATAATAATACAATATATATATATAGTATTGCTAAAAATAGATTTTTCATATATACTTAAGGTTTACCAAAGTATGTAGTTAGTAGTATAGTTTAAACACAACAATGCAATTTTCAAATTATCAGGGATAATTATTACACACATATTGTTTGCATACTATTTTTTATAAATTGTATTGTGATGTCAGCACGAATGGGTCGGCTCCGCCCGGGTAGGACCACGCTCTTACGGAATACCAACGTAAAATAGCAGCTTAAATGCGGCTGTGTTTCGGTATAGTGGGTGTAGAGAACCGGAGAGCCATTTTACTGCAAACGAGAAATTCCATCTCAGTTTTCAGAGGTGACAACACATCTGTATTTTGGTTCTTAATTGAGGATATCCGTAAATGTCTATGGATCACAGCATCCACTTATCACCGGGTGAACTGTGTGCACGTTTATCACCCTTTTAATATAAAAACACACTTAACTACTCTATGAAATTAAATGTCCCATGTTTCAGCTTAAATGAATGTGAACGCACTGTACAACATGTAACAAAACCCCGTGGTTCCCATTATGCGCGTCAGTATTCAAACGTACAGGATTTTTTAAATTTTGTTCAAATAAGTTTTAATTTGCAAATATGTGGTTTTCTTACCTCTGCATTGTTCAATTTATATCTTATTGTGCAATTTATTTCTATACATTTAAGGACTGATTCCGGTAACGCACTTAACGTTAACCAGAGGCGTTTTGTTACATGTCGTATATGTTACGGTTATTTACTGAAGTATGTTAATGATGATTAAATATCAGTAATTGTGATTATAATATTGTTAAATATTAATTTATTAGCACGTAGTAAAAATTAGCAACCTTCTACGTCACAAACCTTACCTGCTGATTGTGTAATGTATTTTCTCTATAATGGCCATTAGAAGGACTAGATTGTTCACTTAGCGACTGGAGGGAAATCGACTTGGAGCCTCTTCGTTGTATTGGTTGAGATGATCCACCACTTGACTGCCTTTTAAATATTTCCGTAGTATTTTTTAGAAAGCTATCCATTTTCTTCCGAAAAAAAGAAGACTTACGTTCTAATGGGGATTTACCAATAGAGTGTAGATCTAACTCTGATTGAGATAAGCCACTCCGCCCACATAATATAGTTTGATCCAAGGATAACTTTCTATCTCTGAGCTTCACGTTTACAATCTCTTTGGAATTTTGTGGTGTAGAGGTGACATTTACTACTACATATTCAGAAGGAAGACATTCATCGTAAGTATTTGAATGAGAACAATCCTTTGGTTTTTCAGATATTTCAGTTTCATTAAGATTAACTATTTCTTTCTCGTTAGTATTTTTTTTCTAATATATCATCAGTATTTTGGACTTCATCGTCCCCGTTTAGAGATATTTTGCTTTGTCCTGTTTCGTTTTCAAAATTTTTAGATGAAGTTACTACATCTAGATTTGTTGCACTAGGTGATTCATTTGTCTGGATTTGATCTTGATATTCATCTATGGTAGATTCTTCAAAATCATCACAGTTGTCAATAAAGTCTTTGTTATTCATAACTTTGCTTCCTGGTGGTGCTTTAATCCGCATACTACTATTCATTTTAACATTTCTCAATATTTCCTTAATCTTTAGATTTTCTTTTATATTCTTGACATCCGAAATTAGCATGGAATTTCTTTTCTTATTTGCATTCTTTTCTAACTTTTTTGTTGATTTAGGTTTTGATTTATCCATTTTCGAGTAAAAATATTTTATGACGTTTATTAAGAAGTAAAGAACTAAGTATCTTATAGCACTACATTGCACACTGAACCATAAAATTATCACTATATTATGCACTAAAACCCTAAAATTAAACTACAATGCACTGTTGCCATTTTGAAGAAAATTTATCAGAGCAATAATAGCGCACGACACCACACCTGTACAAACCGTTTTCATAGTAGTGAAGGAAGTGTGACGATAACACTTTATCAGTATACCTAAAATTCTATTGGTTTATATAGGCGCAGATAATAAATATAATAGTCACGAAAATTAAAGCAAGTGTAATATTTTAACGGACTTATTTAAAAAAAATTAAATACGTGTAATACGTTCACACAGAGCAGACGTGCAGTTGGTTCATGCATCCGAAGTGTGCCCGCGCTCGTGACGTCGAATAACGTTGGGTGGTCCAAGTCATGAGCATACAGCGGTCACCACCCAGACTGCGCGGCTCGTTTACAGATCTAACAAGGAATGAGGCTGTAGCGGAGGACCAAATTACCTACCGAAAACGCAAACAGCCTGAACTGAACTGCAGCTGTACCCAAGAGATACAAGAGTTTCGAAAGGAAGTTACGTCTCTATTGACTAAATTCACAAAGAAAAAAGAGGAAATATTGGATTTTATGCGCAATAATTAAGCCGAAGTTAATTCCAAACTAAATGAAATAAAATTGTCTACGGATATACTCAGAAAGGAACAGAATATACTAAAATCCTAAGTCTCAGATTTGATTAAAAAAACTGATAATGCAGATACCAACATTCTTAAACTGGAAATAAAAATTGCCAATATCAAACAATTGAACATAGATACGAATACTGAAGAAAAAATAATGCAAGAAATGAGAGAACGCATTATTCGAGAAAACAATATTATTGTTGTCGGTGTAAGAGAGTATAAGACGCAAACACAAATGAAGCCAACCCAACTTCTATGGTATGACAGAAGTAGTTTCTATTATTAGAAGTTTGATCGGAGATTGCCCTAAATCAGTTAAAATATTCCGAATAGACAAGTTTAATCCACTTAGAAGTCGCAACATCAAAGTCTGCTTTGAGTCTTCAGAAACAATCAAAATGCTATTACGTAACAGAGGAAAACTGCAACGCAGTATTAAGATCTCTGATCAAACTCCAGCCCAACAGAAATATATACAAAATTTGAAAGAAGAACTAGTACGAAGAGTATCTAACCATGAGAATAACATCACAATTAAATACATCAGAGGAATACCTAAAATCGTTAAAACAGAATCAAAAAACGACAAGAGCTCAACTTCAACATCTTTCCATTAAATAATCAAGATGTAGAAGTTATTACATACCAAGTAATTGATTGTTACCAAAACGTCACCTCAAATAAATCTAACCTTTACTTCTTATATGCTAATGCCAGAAGTATTTGCAAACCAGGTAAATTTGATGAACTCAGGTGCATTATTGAAACTTTTAATAAAACCATACATATAATATTACTGACTGAGGCCTGTATAAGATCAGATGACCAAGTGACACGTATTAACATATCGAACTATTCGCACTACTATAAGATTCGATCAGATGTCATTGGTGGCGGGGTCTCCATTTTTGTGCATAATAATCTAAAGCATGACTTAAGCATGGTATCTTACACTGACGGAAACAACTACTTGTGTATACATCTTGAAAAATATGCACTTGATGTAGGAATTGTGTACAAACCAGGTCACGTGAATCTTAATAATTTTCTCAACACATATCAACTACAACTGCAGCAAAGAAAATGAGCAATTGTCTTTGGTGATACGAATATAGATCTTTTGGTATCCGATACTAAGACTACGCTGTATAATGATCTACTAAAGGAAACAGGTTTCAAAATATTTAACAATATTGATTCACTACACAGCAACCGTGTGTCACCAACCTCGAGAACTATTATTGATCATGTTGCCACAAATCTTAACAATCAAAAATTTCATATGGCTATCATTGTATCTTCTTTTTCAGACCATAAAAATATCTAAGTTAAAATGAAAAAGTAAAACCACCACAAAGGCAAAAGTTACGATACGAAGATATTAACTATGAAATTTCAAACAAGCGCACCAGAGAACATGATTGAGTTTGAAAATGAAGACTGTAATTTTGGAACTCTAGAAGAATTTATAAAGAAAAATTTATTAGAAAGTAAGGAAATAAAATATAAAATTATCAATCAGCCTCGGAATAAATGGGTTAGTAAAGAAATCATAATGGGGATCAAAAAAAGGAATCAACTGTTGAGTAAACAATAGCAGAGACCAGAAAATAATGAAATATAATCAGAATATACTAATGAAAAGGCAAAATTGGCGAGACTTATCAAGGCTTCGAAGAGCAAATATTACTACGGAGAGTTTGAAAAATGTAAAAGTAAACCTAAAAAGATGTGGAAGCTGATAAATATACTTTCTAAAAATAAACTTATTGTAAGCTGTGTTCCCCAAATCTTAAAATGGATAACGGTTTAGTTAATAAAGACCCTGTAGCTATCTGTGAGTTGTTCAATAAGTTTTTCTCAAATATTGGTACGCAAATAGCAAACAAAATAATGCCCAATTATCATAACAACGATACGATACGAACGATAATGATAAAGAACGAACGATACATTGCCAAAACTAAAATCGGGTATAAGCCAAATCAAACTCGCAGTCTTCAAACAAAGTGATAAAAATGAGATAGCTAATATTATCGATGGTCTGGAAACTAACACTAGTACAGGCATTGACTCCATAAGTACAAAATCAATTAAGTGTATTAAAAATCTTATTATTCCCAATCTCACTGACTGTCTTAATAAATTTTTGGTACAAGGTATATTCCCAGATTGTCTAAAAATAGCTAAGGTCGGTCCGATCTATAAATCTGGTATAAAGAGAGATCCAGGAAACTATCGGCCCGTGTCGGTTTTGCCTGTGCTTTCAAAAATCTTGGAGAAAGTAATCTACAAACGACTGAATGACCACTTGACTGAAATAAATTTTTTGTGTGATCAACAATACGGCTTCCGTTCAAAATCAAACACTCTTAATGCAGCTGTTGACTTAACTACTAAAATAAAAACTAAAATATACCAAAAGCAGCTAGCACTAAATGTGTTCACTGACTTAAAAAGGCCTTTGATATAGTGAGTCACTCGTTGCTACTAAAAAAGTTAGAAAGAATTGGTGTAACCGACACGAAACTCCAGATGTTAAAATCTTACACTGAAAATAGATCGTCATTTATCAATTATAAAAAATAAACTTTCATCTCTAATTGGTTCTGCAGTACCCGGATGACCTAGCTTTGCTAGGTTTTTTTTTTGAACTGAACTGGTTATTTGAATAAAAAATCATGAGTGAAATTATAATTAAAATTTTTGTATTTTTAAAAAATACTTAAAAAAGGGCTCGAAATAATAGATTTTCTCACAAAAAAATGGAACTTGAAAAAAAAAGGTAAAAATTTTGGACCAAAGACAGGACCACTTGAGCTATTACGATCCACTTGAGCTATTACGATCATTAACACAGTGTCAAAATTTACCTTCTTATATTGTAGCAGTTTTTCATTGCCTGAAAACATGGACAATAAGACATTTTCTAAAAATAAATCCTAGCTAGACCGATTTATTGCCCCCGATACTCGCTGGACACTAAATTTTATGTTATATACGACGTATATAATATATCTAAATTTATATTATATACGACTTTTCAACTTCGACCAAAACAATATACCATGAAACGAAATTATTAAACATCAAACAATTAAACATCTATAACACATGTGTATTAATATATAAAATCACACATAATATGATCCATTCAAATATAACATTAACCACAAAATGAGAAACACTAAAATACTCATCACGCCGCGCAAATCGTTATAACAGCAAAACCAAATATTCGCACTAATTATGGAAAAAATGTCGTAACATTTGCGGAAGCACAGTTGTATAATAAACTCCCTTCAACTAGAAAAGATGCAAGTTCGCTCAATACTTTCAAGAAAAAATTATTAGACCACATTAAAAAACAAGACACTATATAACTTGGACCACCGTCTTATATTATCAATACTTGAAGCAACGCTCTTACGCAGTTAACTTGCAACTTCTATTTTGATCTAACCTAATTTATTTTTACTATTTTATTATATTGTTCTCTGTGAATTATTTTAAATTGTATGAATGTACTCATGTAAGTGACATTCGTCTTAATGAGTAAATAAAAATCTTTAAACCGACATTTATTTAAAAGAATGTCATTTTTATAGTTTAAACCAAATAACTAGGTCCTAAAATATATAATGCTATCGCAATTTTAATAATAAAACGGCTAAATATTTTAGTTCTTGCACTAAGAAAATGTGCGTCGTTTAAGTAACACGGCGTATCTTTTTGACGCCATTACATTAATGATATCTTGGGGCTAGAGATAATCGTTGATAGTTTTATCTCATATCTGTACCAGTTTTGCTTTTATCTGAATTGAAATCAAATTTCATATGTTTAGTCGCGGATGTTTCTCTGTACATATATGCATTGAAATGTAACATTTACTCTGCTAAGGTAATAGCAAATATTTATCTAATAATTATTTACGAGCTGCGTACTTGATAAGATAGGAATGTTTTATGCATATCATGTAGAATACCTCAAACTGACTAGCGTTTTTCATATTAGGTAGGTATATGATTTTACTAGATTATCCCCGTAGGTTTTGCGTGAGAGTTGTAAACAGATATTAAATTTACAATATTATTAGCGTGTTACTTTACTACCGCATAGTTTTGTTGTCAGAGTACCTACTATTCGCCTTCGACGTATTTCTTTAATTTGTCAGAGATCCCGGTTCCATTACGATGTTTTCCTTGACGATTGTACATGTGTTAAATCACTACTTGAAATTGAAAATAACAATTTGGTGGAGCCACGTGTCTAAGGTTGCCGA